TTCAGGTAAAGGGTCAAAAGGTCATGTCATCAAAGGTCACATAAAGGTCATGACGCGCGCGTACGTGCGCGTCAAAATTTGAAAATGCTCAAAATCACTTTACTATTAAAGGAGAGTACGAATTAGGTCATTTTAAGCATTTTAAAATTTTCCGTCCGTACGTGTCCACGCGCGCGTTGCGCGCGCTCACAACGCGCGGAAAAGGTCAACTTCATTTTTTTTTACATGATTTGGATTCCTCTAACCGTAAATGACAATTTACATTAATTTCAGTCACTCTTGACCTTTTATAAGGCCGTGAGCGCGCGTCAAAGTTCAAAATCCGCGCGGGCTGCTATGGGCAATATAATGCAAATTTGATCAAAAACATCCCATTTTAAAAATCAAAATATCTCTTCAGAGAGTCAATTGACCCCAACTTTTATATCATGGTTAGAAAAAACATGAGTTGGAGATATGATTTCATGTGTCATTTGACCCTCAATTAACTCATGACGTCATCATAATGGCCTCCGAACTCATAATTTCAATTTTCATATTATGACGTCAGCAGATTTTTTGAAAATTGATTGTATCTCTGTAAATGTTGATCAATTTTCTTTCAAATTTTGATATGTTCTACCTGAGAATATTCTCTACAAATGCAGTAACCACGATATTTCATTTTGACAAAGGCATCATGGCGTATTTTTGCGATTAAAGGAGGCATGTCAATTTTTCACATTTTGCGTGTATTCTCTATGGGACATGACTTTTTCTCAAAACTGGATTCTACATTCTCGTCTTTCGCGAGCAATATCTCCGTCGTTTTATCTTTGTTTACGCTGAGCTTAGAGTATGTTGTAGCTGAGACAATAAGCTATCACAAGTGTGGCCTTTATTTTTCGATCAGATGCCGGGATCATGCTCATATTTCACTTACAAAGTGGGATTTGAGAATTTCATTTTCCGTTTACGTGTAATCTCTATGTGAAATGTTTTGGTATATCGGTAACGCACTTGACTTCCGACCTCGAGGTCCCTGGTTCGAGTCCGGGCGTCTCCAACAATTTTTTTTCTTCACTTTTTTTTCTTTTTGACCTTTCACTGTACCATCTCATTTGAATATTAAAACACGTAGAATCGCAAATAATGTAATAAACAACTATATTTAATTTATTATTACCCTATTATCACTTGATCCATTACTTTTTGCTTGTAATACTTATGGGAGATGACTTTTTCTTAAATCTGGATTCTACTTTCCTGTCTTTTGCGAGCAATATCGCCGTTATTTCCGCTTGTTTTTTGTTGATTTTTGAGTATAATGTAGCTGAGACTATATGCTATCTACATCTCCCTCATTTTTTCAATCAGATGTCAGGATCATGCTCATACTCATCATCGTCATCATCATCGTCATCAATATTATCATCATCATTATCATCATCATCATCAATTTCACCATCATCATCATCATTGTTTACATGTCTATATAACTTCTCCCATTCTCAAATCTATCATAAGACTTAGACAGACCACCTTATTCGTCTTCGTGACGAATTCAAGTCTAGTTTTAGTTTTTTTTTTCTTCTTTTAGCATCAAATGAAATTTTATCAAAGTAAACCTGGTGACCTATTGGGGCAATTATTGATATTTTTGATTGATAAAGGTTTACATTGATTGCATTTCGGAAAGATCCTTTTTGGGGGCAATTTCACCTTTCCCCAAAACAGCATAGTGACTTAAAAGTTGAATTAAGGACATACCATTGTAATCAAAGCCAGCATCCTTTCCTTGTTCCAGTATTACAATCTGTGATCTTCAGGGTATTGTCTCAGTCCAAATATTAGTTGTATCCTCCAAGAGAAATGAATCAACCATTGACCAGGAAATTGATGAAAACTGTTTGTGTGTAGCCTGCCCCTGCCGCCACCCATGATGAGCTCCTCCCTTCCTCTCACCCCCACAAACACGTAACATAGGGGGCTGTTCCGATGGGGCTACACCCTTCTGTGTCATCCCCCATTAACAATATAAGCCCCCCCCTCATCTTTATTGTGATAATGATGATAAAAGTTGTGGTGATGATGATAATGAGAATAATTTGGATTGATATAGCGCTTGCCTCTTTTAATAGCACTTTGCATTTATCATTTGTACTAGAATTATCTCTTCATCGAAAAGATGCTAGTGGATTGGGGGGGGGGGGAATATTTGTGGAATGTGCCCCTCCCCCATCATTTTGAGACCCAAGTGGCATACCTTCAGTACACAACCTTAAAAATGTGCCCCCCCCCCCCCCCCGTCCATTTTCAATCTGATAACCGTTTCTGTCTAATTTTCTTTCTTCTTGTTTCTTTGTCTCTTTTTCCTTCTTTTTCTGTCTTGTCAGAACATTTTCTTGAATTGTGCCCCTTTAAATTATCCTGAATCTGCCCCTGGATAAGGTTGCTGTAACAAAATATAATAATATAAAAATAGGCGGACACATTGATTTATCAACTTACACATTCTGAACATTTCAGATTATCTCAAAATATGAATTGAAGTAAATTTGTTTGACATATCATCATAAAGATGCATCAGACATATAGCTCAATATCTTGCAATGTTTGTTTTACAAGGTCAAACGTTCAGAAGAAGAAAAAAATACATTGGAATGAGTGTCAGTCAACTGGGAAATTGACAAGCAAATCAATACAAATCCCTAAATGCAACTCCCAGCCACCTACCTTTTTAGTAACTCTGTATTATGTATGCAGTGTATTTATTCCCACTTATGTGTGTTAGTGGTACCAGACATGATTAGCATTTAATGTATTTTCTGGTCCCATTTATCCTTTCAATGTTAAACACTCACATTTGATTGTTATATTGATGTAGTTTTTGTTTGGTTAATAAACTTTAAACTTCAATTGTTCAGTTGTCTGAATGGAATTAAGTCTTTATAATTCAAAGCTGTGAAAATTGATGGATTTTGACAGTTCATGGCATCGAAAACAAAATTTGCAGTGTTTGCATCATTTTCCACGTTCTACTTCGAAGCAATCCACTATAGTCAACTCAAAACTATCTATTAAAAGGAGATTTAACGTAAACCCTCTTATAGAAATAGCAACACAATCGAAGGTGAAAATTGTTTGTACCCCTTATAGAAATCAATCTGTCTAGATCCTTCCCAAAGCTGCTCCAAAGCTAATAAGCTTCTGTGAATTTACCCATTTTGCTCTGATGAAAGATTTCTTTTCTTTTGTGAAGCCGTTGCAACAAATTACGAGAAATTGTTCAATCAGTATCTTGTGATTGTGGGGAAGTAGGCAGGTTGGAGGGGCTTGAATCTCCTTGCTTTGTGTCAGGAAATTAGCCGTTTGAAGGTTGTAAAATGGGGGAATGGAAAGATCATAACTCAAGAGCAAATTTATCATAGCCCTAGGCCTCGGGAGCAAAAAAGTTAATGCTCGTAAAAATACTCTGGTTATTCTGGGACTGTATTCTGTTACAATGTTCCACTGACAGATTGGTGTAGGCCAATCGCAGAGTCATAATTAGCAAGGAAATTATTAATTTGGGGTGAGAATATAGAGGTGAAACAGTTTGAATCATGTGAGAATCTGGTCTTTCCCTTCGTCTTGAAAACCATATTATAATAAGGTCGTGACCTGTGTACATTGCAGGTTGGAAAGAGAGAGAATGCAAAGTGCACAGTCATTTTTTCTGAAATTAGGAAATTCTTTCGACACCAGTTTAAAGGTAAAGACCAGTATTGGAAACGCCCCAATTTCAAAAAATGAAATGGAAGCTCTCATTACCAATCATGTGAAAGAATATGTTTTGACTAATACATGATGATAAAACATTTGCCGGGAAACCGCCTACTAATTCATATATTTGGTAAATTTGTTTCTCTCATGGTCTGTGAGAGATATAGGGTAGTCCCATATACATCTTTCTGTGTATAGTGCTTGTAACTTTACGAAGAATGGGCCAAATTTCTTATCATTTTGAAGATTCCAGGACCTTGCAGATGCTAGATGCTAGATGATCAACCTTTTCTGATCGATTCCACAACGTTTCTTTCACAATGCAATCGCATGACCATAACTGGTCTTTACCTTTAATAATCAACAACTGAACACATATATTGTGTATGCATCGAGGGATCATATTTCTCTAATAATTACTCAGTCATAAAGATAATAATCTCTTTAATAGATAAATGTATAGAATTATCAAATTTGTAGGAAGTTGTCAATTTGGATTTAGCAAATGTGAAAGATGATCTAATTGAATCACCACAAGGTGGGCTCATCTTGTTATCTTATTTCAATCATGAGCACCCATTTTCACACCTTTTCCGAGGTCATGATCATTTGGGGTCGTCCGTGGGATGTGAAGTTCAAAATTCATAGACATGCACCACATGTCTTCTTCTTAAATGTCAATTGATCTATGTAATTCAACCGACATCTGATGTCTGGGTCCGTATATTATAACTCATGTTTTCCCAAAAAAATGTCCATTGGTGTAGGTGTCATGTTTGAGTGACTTGAAATACAATAAGATGAGATAGTCTATGAGTGACTGAACTCTCCAAATTCTTTGGTAATAGAATCTGATCAAGCTTGCATTACTGATAATTGTAATCATGTATGAGGTGTGCTGTGGAGTAATCATTTATTCAATGATATAAACAAAAGTTTTAAAGTAATTTTCATTTGAAAGATACAAAACTCAAGCATTATCATTAAAAAAGTAGCACTCTGCCCACTGTTGAATAGTATACAGCTTGGAAGCAAGGTACATGTAGATATATTATTCCAAATATGTAGGCTTCAAACAAACTTGATCCTGTGCTATTGCTCGGTATAGGATATTGTAAGTTGTAATGTTGTCATATTATGTGTTTTAATATCACTTGGCATTACCCTTTTATCACGATGCTATGATGTACTTTTTGTAGCATTCTGAACTTCCATAAGTGGTTCATAAAGACTGTCCTTTCCTTATATCCATCCAGAGTCTCTGCCAGTCCATGTGGTGCCATAGAGGGGAACGCCGATGCGAAACCAAGTTCCTGCCGGCGGCGGACGGAACCCCCTGCGGCGCCACCATGTGGTGCATCCAGGGCAAGTGCCTGGACCGGGGCCAGCTGGGACCCACCATGGTCCATGGAAACTGGTCCGAGTACGGCGAGTTTGACGTCTGCTCCAGGACCTGTGGGGGCGGGGTGCAGTACAAGGAGAGGCGGTGCGACAACCCCCACCCTCAGAATGGGGGCAAGTACTGTGAGGGTCCAAGCAGGATATATAGAATGTGTAATATTCAGGTGAGATTTACTTACAACTTTTTATTTTCTATTTACATCCATGTATAGTTCAGACATATATTTGATATACTGATGCATTTAAGGCAAATTGCCTACTGATAGGCAGAAAGGCATTAATTCCTATACTTAACCACAGAGTTAATGCCTTTCTAGTTCTTAATAGAAACAAATACTCTAGAAGTATAACAATCTCATTAAAAGTCATACGTGAAAATCGATGAGTTACAGGTAATTGTGCATTTTTTCATGATTGTTAGAACTTTTAAGAAACTGTTCTGAAATTGTGACCAGGTCAACATATATTTCTTTTGATAATGTGATAAAATATAGTATTCCACTCCCTGTGTGGAAAGATTACGTGGAATAATTTTATTTTGGAGCTTAATCCAAAGATTAGAGCCATATCAAGAGTATTTGCACTGGTACTAAAGTTGTGTGACACAAATCATGAAGGTGCTAAGAGTTTTCAGTCTTTGAAGAGTTATGTCAGTGCAGTGAACTCCAGTCGTTCTTCATCTCCTCTACACCACCAGGGATTTAAGCTAATCCATCAACAGTGGTGACATTAATACTTGTGCACTTATGACAAATGTTTGCATATTCTCCAATGGTTTGTGTAATATCCTCAATGTTGCTGTTTTTGTGCTAGTATAGTTCCATGAACTCTGCGTCAAAACCTGCGAGAGTCTTGTGACAGTTTAACTTCTTGTAGCTGAATTAAATGTTCAAGTGATCAATCAGCGAGTTTCTTTTCAATGCCAACACCTGTAAGTTTAAAAAAATGTAACAATCTGTCCAGAATTCATCAGTTTTGGATTGTTAATCCTTTCTACAACAACAGGGTACCTCGGCGAGTTTTGCTTTGAATCGTTTCCAGACGTAACCTCAGAACCTGTCTCGGTTTCCTCAGGTGTGCTTAAGGGATTAACAGCCCCCCATCAATCAGCATCATCGACACAATACCTCAACATTTCTGACAAATGTTGGTCATATTCTCCAAAGATTTATCCACTCTTTAAAAATGTTACCTTAGGCCTGCCTATTCGGTTACACCGTGAAGACTCAGCCCTGCGTTACCTGCTAGCTGAGAACATCGTGAGTTGGTACGTGAAGCAACGGCTGCAGACATATTCCCCAAACTGGGATGAATTACACGATTTGCGGGGAAAGCGATGAAATATGTTTGGTGAACGATACCCCCACAATTCCCCATTGTGACCGAATGACTCCTCATGTTCTCTCTGACTTCCTGCTTATGTTGCTTTCTCGATTCTCTCCCCTCTTGTTTCCATGACAACAGGAGTGCCCGGATGAGTCGGTGGATTTCCGAGCCCAGCAATGCTCCTCCTACAACAGCCGTCCTTTTCGAGGGTTCTACTACGACTGGAAGCCTTACCTGCACGTTAACAGTGAGAACCAGTTCCTTTTTTATTTTGTTTGTCCCATTTGAATTTGAAATGTACTTTCTCAAGATAGTTGGTTTAGAAATAATTCCAGTATATTTCAAGAGTGTATATCACTTCTGGCATACAGCATTGAATTCAACCCAAGATAAGACTCTAAGTGCCTTCGTTATGATTAGAACTTTCAGTATTTTTAGCAGCTTTGTAGTATAGAAAGTTCAACAATTAATCAATTTCATCATTATTCATGTCCTATTACAGCTTTCTGGCTGCCTGAATAATCTGATGAAGAAACCGAATGTCTGCTAGATCTAAAGTGAACGGAACAAGATTAATCCATTTACCATTTGAAAACCAAGAGCACTTCTCTCTCTCTCTCTCTCTCTCTCTCTCTGTCTAGTCTAATTCTCTATATGTCTGTATTTCTTTCTCTCTCTCTCTCTCTCTTTCTCTCTCTATCTCTATCTTTCTCTCTCTCTCTCTCTCTCTCTCGCTCTCTTCCTCTCTCTCTCTCCCTCTCTCCTTGAGGAAGTAGCATCTCAACACCATATGGAACTCTCTCTTTTTGATATTTCAAATGTATTTGATATATTCTGCTATTTCCCCTTCTTCCTCTGCCCATTTCAACAAAGCCTCTGATCTGTCAAAACACATTGAATCACAGATCAGTGATGCCAGCCTTTTGGGAGAGGACCAATAATTGATTGTTTTTTCTTTGGATTTTGGGTGTGTTGTTGAAAGGGCTGGTCATGCTGTGATCAGGCTTAAAGGTAATACAAAGTTTTGGGAAATTTTGAAAATTGGGTGGATAGTGAATCTTTACAATTTTGATATATTTGGATGCCCCTAGGGATGAATTATAAGCACTAAAAAAATTAGCCCCTAAAACACTTCTGTTTTCGAGAAAAATTAAATATAAAAATTTACCGGTGCTCCCGGTAAATTTTGATAAATTTCAAATAGCGCCTATGGCCGTACAATAGTAGCTGCGACCATGAAAATCTCAGAATATGTAGTTGTGATATATAATTTCCAAACGGGAATAGCTAATCAGTCGATTTTAGTCAAGAAACATTGTTTCATAGCTAAATTAATATCTTGACCTTGAGAGGGAGCTATACAACATAAAGAGTTTATTATTTATAATTTCATAACTTTAGACTCAATTTCAACCGCGACAACGATCAATGAATATTGTAGGAATGCATATGCTTCCAATATGTTAATTTGAACCAAATTCATGACCCCATACCAAAACTTTCTAATACCTTTAATATTTCTGAATTTATCTCCAGCGTATGACTCATATGATTGATGCAATGTGACTGTGCTATATGTAGCAATCCCTGATAGATATTATTAGATTTTGGGTTTTTTTTTAAATGTAAATTTTGGAGTTAAGAATCCAACTTTAACCCATTGACTACTGAATTGTCTCTTCCAAATGGGCTTGATTATACAGGAACCACCCATTTACCATAGACAATAGGTTGATTGTTAGACTTTTATCAAGTTTTGATAATGTATAGCTCAAGATATTTAGAAACTAATGTTGGAATATAAATTTAAAGATAGGGTATTTATCATAAACGTGCTATAAAAAATAGAAATCATTCATCAAAAGGCAGGAGGGCAATACCTATTCTCCCTCCATTTTAGATCTTGTTATTTTTTCTAAAGTTTCATTCATTCCAGTTATTGTTAGTTTCAAATTCACTAATATTGATTTTTATTTGAAACAAGTTCTGTTGTTAATTATTGGTTATGCTATATGTCTTGACGAAGCCATCAATAGGAATGATTTCTTCCTTTTCCTATTCTTCTCCCTTGTCTCTAAAATCTGTTTGCATTTTATCAATCACTTTAATGATCTTATAGATTAACCGGAATCACCTTAAAATGCATCTATATTATAATCAATCTTGTAAGTCAGATTTTCTGATCGCTCTAAAGTTCCAACCACCCCCTAAACGTTCCCCTCGAAAGGATACAATCTTCTCCCAAGCGTGTCTGTGTTTTGACAATGTCAGTGGCCTTTTATAAGAGTACCCTCTGACTCACGCCCCCAGCAGAGTCTATCCGCCAGACGGTCCAAGCTCCATCCATCTGCATCCAATGTTTCCCCAACCCTAGCTGTTAGCTTGTCGCAGCAGACAAAACATCTCTCGCCTCCTCCGTCCAAAGGTTGCCAAGTTTCAGATGTTGGGATTCGTTGAGAAAGTTGAATTCTCAACTGTCCCTTTAATTGACCAATAATATTACACGGCTTATGCCTATGCGCAATGTCTTATTCTTGACCCATTACATACATGTGTATCATGACTTTAGTCAAAATGCATATATACCTCTGTGATGCATGGTAAAGGTCAATGTATTAAACCTGTTGCTGTAGGCTAGAGAAGAGGAGGTACTATTTGTGATTATTAAAGACTAAAATGCTTTGATTTTATACTTATTTTTAAATTTTAAAACATTTAAAAACTATTTTCTTTTATTTAATAGACTTTTGTTCACATATATAGTCATTATAGTAGGCCTTTGGTATGAAATGGAGAAAGTATATATCTAGTTTTACTTTCTTGTTTGCACTTTCCCTAAGTTCTGCCTTTTATGTATCTCATATAATCTGTAAGAGCCAGAAGGGCATAGACTCATATTAATTTACAAGGAGCTAAAACCCTTTAAGCTTTTAGTAGAGGATAATTTCTCTCTTTTTTGTTCTCTCTCCGTTTGGCCATCATAATCTCTCTCTCTCTCTCTGTTTCTCTATTTCTCTTTCTTTGATCTCCTCCCTTCCTCCTTCCCTCTCTTTCCCTCTCTCTTTCTCTCTCTCTTTCTCTCTCACTCACACTCATGTTTTATATAATTTATTCTCCTTTATCTTCCTCTCTCTAGAAAACGAAGCCTGCAAGCTGTACTGCATCGCTGACGGGTTTGACTTTTACTTTGCTCTCTCTGGGAGTGTGGTCGATGGGACCAAATGTGACGCGGATTCTAACAACGTCTGTGTTAATGGCAGATGTGAGGTAAGCGCTACACGATAGGACCATTATGTCATCTGCTCAGAGCCAGAAAGGTTTTAACTCTTATCCTTTTTAACAGAGCTAACACCCTTCTGGCTCTCAACAGATGATATATTCAACGGAAATCAGTTTCTGCTGCTCGTCTGGGCCGTGTCTTGATCTTTTAGGAATATGTGCTCATTTTAGTCATGTCTTTTGACTTTTCTATTTTCCCCTTCCTGTGATATATCATGTTGTATTTTCTCTCTTTCATCTGTACTTTTATTTTATTTTCTATTTGGTAATTCCTTCTCTTTCACTTCATCTTCTTTACGTTCTTGTTTTTTTGAATGATTTATATGTTCATCTCTGTAATGTCTTTTCACTTTTATCTTTCTTTTCTGGTATTATTCACTTTCTCTATCCTCTAATTTCTTTTTTCTCTGCTTAATTTTCCTATTATTTTCTTTCTTAGCTTTTGAAGTCTCCACCCTCTCTCTCCCTCTCTCTCCTCCCATTCCCTCCAATCCCCTCTCTTCTTCTCTTTTCCTTCTGTTATCCTGATATCTATTATTGTTTATTTCTCATTAATGTTTGCATTAATATGTAAATACTTAATTTATTTTTTCATTGATATGCCAGTTGTTTGACTTTCACACTATAAAATGCCTGCAATTGAAATAGCTTCTAATAATTCCAGTATCATTTTATTGCAATACTGTTATTTTTTTATGAACTTGGATTGTACATGTACATAAAATACTGGATGAAGATATGGAGGATTAAAAGTGAATTAAAATACCTATTTTGCCTTTCAGAAAGTAGGCTGTGATCATATCCTTGGTTCGGAAGCCCAACCCGATGCTTGCGGAGTGTGCCATGGTGATAACTCAACATGTGACTTTGTGAGAGGCGTCTACGCTGAGCAACATGAAAGGAATGGTGAGGACCTCCTTCATCCTTCTCAACCATCTTATCCTCCTCTTTGTAATCCTCCACTCTCTTTCCTCTTCTTTTCTCTTTCTTTTTGCTTTCTCTTAAAGACCCTCTGTACTAGTTTGGCATGGAGGGATAAGACCTCCCTGCGAGATCACTGGCAAGCGGATATCTCATCAAATCAGCTCTCAATTAACATAAGAAATAGGGCATCATGTGGGATCAACAAGTACTGCATAGGAATGGTTGGCTATATAGAGGGTGCAAGTAGCTATACGTAGTGGAGTGGGGCTTTAAGTTCAGTAATGTTATATTACTTTCACTCCCCTTATTTTCCGTTGCCCCTTTTTTCTCCTTTCCTCGTTGATTGGACCCCTATGAATATCAACCAGGTATGGGGGATGTTCCATCACACAAGCGGAAATCAAGGAATTAAATGATTTAAAAGAAAAAGATATGTCACCTCTTCCTTTTCTTAGTATCTCTTCTCCTCTTTTCCTGTTACATTTCTTTCACTTGCCTCATCACTTCTAGGCCCCTTATTCAACCTTCTCCAATTTGAGTGGACCTCTATCAAAATCACACACACCATACCGATCGGAATATTCAATCTCATAAGTGGAAATTAATGGATTAAATGATTAAAATATTTTGCATGCCCCTTCCTGTCCTAAGATGCTTTCCCCCTCTATTTCCATTTGCTATCACCCCATTTTCTACTTATCATTGGATTTGCTTGCCCATCTTCCTCTGGCAATACCTTTCTAATTGAAGAAGCATCACATGAAAAGAAAATATTGTAAGATATTTTGGGTTATTTCACTGATACAGTCATTGAATTTTACGTAAATTTTAAGTTAATGCTTCATAAAATCAAGTTACCATTCCTTGTACATGATGACATTATTTTACTTGGCAGGCAGATTTCTTTAGTACCTTCCCATTTGCCTAAATAATCTATTAAAGTCATCTGTTGTCAGTGCATGATTTGTGTGCTTTTTCTGCCAACGTTGTAACGTGCAAGATCATTCCAAACTAATTAGAATTTATTTTAAAGATACACTGAGATCCCCATAACAGAGCAAATACAAGAAAACTTATCATTGTGCAGAATCTGGTATAATATCTAACAGAAATCAAATAAAATTGTAGTATTTTTTTAGTAACTATGGATGTATTCTTCAACATAGGATGATTTTGATTTTCATAGATAGTATTGATTAAACAACAATGCAAACTCAGTGAGTTAAATTCGGAGGACTTACCAGAAATTGTTTAGGCTATTTTCTCATTACAACCCATTTTTTAAAATATTGAATATAACTTTGATGATGAAAGAAAGAAAAAACTAATTTAGCTTGATATCTTTAAGCGAAGTGAAAACAGATATTATGTAGTTAGGACTCAGATTGCTTGTTTTGTTTCTGTTGTCACACTTATGACCATGGCATTGCTCAAGATGTACATGGAATACTATCGGTACAAAACTGATTGGATCGAAACTATAACATATTACACCAACCCCTCGTGTGATTGCATTATAGAGATCAAGGCTAGATCAGTCTCTGAGGTTTTTAATTGCATCATAGGGAGCACCTCCTTAGGTAATAGCATTTATTGGATATCTTTGATACCTGCATGAAGGAATTGAAGATTGGAGACTTTCCAATGATCAGAAATTTACCTATTAAACCCACACATTTAATGTTCCCTCTGTGAGATATATTCAAAGGTATTTGAATAGTTGAAGAAAGGGAAAAATAGAAGTTTGGGAGACCAGCCGTAAATGGAGATATAAAACTGTAAAGGTTTTTTCTTCGATCTGCAAATACAGATAAAAATAGAAATCACAGATTTAGTACATCATTCATGTTACACAAGATACAATAAAAATTGTCTGAATAAACCAAGTAGCTGTATCTATAAAGATTCATTTTAACACATTTTCCTTTTCTTCTATAAACTGTCAATCTTGACCCCGTCCTTTAACTATAAAAAATTCAGAGTACTTGAACCAATGGCTACAAAACCTTTTGCATTTTGTAATATGCACTACTTTGATTAACTCATAGTTTCTCAAACTGACTTGACTTCCCTTTAAACAGATTACTGCCAATAAACCAAAATAACTGTAAACATGTCTATCTTGCATCCATACACAAGATTGATTATTCACATCTATCTGCATAGCATAAATTTGTTCTAAAAACCTCAATATTAGATTGTCATTTCGAAGGAGACAGACAGAAATGTACTGAGAAAAGTTTCAATGTTCATTTCAGGGATAAAATTATTGTGCATGTTTGGAACCAGAAGGACATTAACTTATATAGTTTAACACAGGGTTAACATCCTTCTGGCTCCAAACAGGCGATATGTATTAGATACAGGGTATTAAGATATGTATGCAATCAATGAATACACATATACAAGTATTTAACGTTCGGCATGGCAACCCCTCGACCCTCACTTTCATGTCGCTAGTCCAAAATATCACTCTATTAATGGGTTATCTGACCAAAGTAGAGATATGGTTAAACAAACTTCCTGAGGAGGTGCAAGCTTCCACCATGGCCCATTCCATCCCCCATTTATCCTTACGTTTCATCTGATTAGCAGACCTGCTATCTCTGTGTGTATGAGTCAGTCAGTACGTCAGTCAGTCAGCCCTGTAAGAGGGACTAGTAGGGCTCTTAATCTAGATTGGGGTAACTCGAAGCCCCCTGGATGCTCCACAAAGATGTGCATCTGAGAGAGAAAGAGAGAGAGAAGATGACATCATACGTATCTGTCATCATTTCATCCCCCATTATTGGCATGTCAGCTCAAGATGTTTGGTGTATTGAAAGAAGAAGGAGGATATTTCATTTTTGAACAGATCATGAATTCTGTTTTTTATTTCCTTTTTATTGGCTGAAGTGGGAATTCAGGGGATGGGGATGGGTACTAACTTCTTAATGCCTTATTCAATAGTTTCATGTGTGACAATTTTAATTGAATAAAAGAAGAAAATAACCATTGAACTTCCTCAGATGTTCGAGGTGTACAAATAAATTTGTAAAAACCTGATATTATGTAATTTTACATTTTATATAACACATTTAAAAAACATACAACACAAGATTCTTGATCAATGTTGTATTTGACTGACCAATACAAAAACATTTAAGCCATATTCCTAGTGTTGTAAAGATTCCAATATGCAAACGGAAGAATACCTGAAATAGTTGCTACAGGGCCAGTTATATGCACCTGTCCATGCTAGCTATCAGTGAGTAATTACGTAACGAAGATGACACAGTGTTGACTCATGGTGCCACTCAGTCTATCTGATGTAGCAGGAGAAAACAGCCTTCAAACCTTGAAGTTATTTAAGTAGTTGAATAAATGGTCAGGGTTTTTTCCCCGCATGGATAATCCATAATAATGCAATTAACCTCAGCCTATTACAAATTCACCTGGTGTGTCATGGTATAATATAATAATCGGTTACCTGGAAAACTTTTGTGAGCATCAAATTTAATTGATTCATAACTACGATTCAATTGAATTTGATGCTCATATATGTGTATATAATATGCCTGTATTGTGACTATGGATGGAGAAATAATCTTTCAATCTTTCAAACTTTTTGATTAATAAATTATGACTTCCATACAAGTTCAGATTCTGGGTAAAATGTAGGTAGGTGCTCATTCAAATTACATACATCTGTTTGAAACTTGGTGATTAGGACAACATTTTTTATGAATACATAATTAATTTTATTTACATAATGAAATGACTACCGTAAGTAGCATTATGTGTCAAGGGAAGAAAAGGGAGGACGTGATGCATGTAGTATATGGCCACAGTTTGGTCATGTATTGGTATATGCCACATTTCTGTTACATATTCAAACTGAGTAATAGATCAAGCAAATACACGATGCTTTGCACTCTTAAGGCTCAGAAGATAAAGCAAGCCTGTCGCTATACCAGTTGGCATTATGATTAAGAGTGAATGGTACAGGGATCAATGAATCACATGATTAATTTTGTTTAATAAGTCTGCTGCGTATGGCATGCATGCTTGCTCTGTAGATCTATGTACAGACTACACAGACGATTAGGCAAACGATTCATCACTCTTTTGCCCACACAGAGTGGGGCTTCGTATATGTCACACTAGATGGGTTAATATGTGTATTAAAATCATACAAGTAAGACATGCAGTTTGATAATTAAAACTTTACTATCTGTGATGTAAACTTAATTTATAAGTTCATTTTGGGGGGCATTACTAAGACATAATGGAATTTAATCAATATACTTAAAGTTAAGTAACACTTGGAGTTCCTAGAAGTTATTTTAACATAGAATAATTAACAATTTACTAGTCAGAGCATGTTGTTTGTATTGGTTATAGCAACCTTAAGTTTTGTGTAACTTGAACAGAGATACACACTCGCCTTAGCAAGGGATTACATGATTGAGAATAAACCTTGTGACAAGCAGAGGACTTAAGTCCTCAACCAACGGGGTTACCCAAGGCTAACCTCAGGCATGACACTACAGATCTTGAAATGTGATTTCATATCCGTAATAAGGCCAACTCTAATTTGCTCTAGGTGGCGAAGCAACGCTTGACACATGTGTGTCCAATATCTATCCGCTGCAATTGAGTATTGACGGAGCAGGTAGTTGACAAATCCACATCAAAAGTGACAGTTTTACGATAATTTCCCCCAAAAATGTTTTGCAAGAGGAAAGCTTAGGAAAGGAAAAACTCAGTCACTGGTTATAGCAGTAGAGGAGAGACAAAATATATTTCATGACTCCAACCAAATCAGTAACGAGCTGAGGATGTATATAAACCTGTTTTACCTAAAATTTTGCTGATTGGACTACCATGCTCAAATTTGGAACAATGTATGTTCTTATTCAGGTATCAAAGAGTACATAATTTAGATCTATTGGAGAGCGTTTCTCAAATCACATACTCGAAGGATTTAGGGAACACAAACCCTGTTCACATCATGTATTCTGATAAATCTTTGTTTTTTCTATACAGGCATGAAAACACTTTTTGATTATAATCACGGCTAAGCACTTTAGAGAGTATAACTCTCATCAGATCCATATGTTTGTCTAGGATGTATTCTGTTAATATTGTCACTTTTGTGGCCTGAGGGTTCTTCTTGATTGTATTAAGTGGCAATTATAAATTAATTTTTTTACAAATTAGATTTCATCAGATGACAGCCAAAAGCCCAGTAGCTCATTGTTAAAAAAATTACACAACAGTCGGTGATTCGATCATGTCCATCCCCCCTTCCTTCCTCTTCTCTTGTCCTAGATTACTATGAGGTCGTGAGGATACCCCGAGGCGCCCGTCAGATCAGCGTAGCGGAACTCAGCTCTTCGGACAGCTATCTTGCCCTGAGGAACAGCAAATACATGTACTACCTGACCGGAGGATGGACGGTCGACTGGCCAGGCAACTTCAAATTTGGCGGGACGCTCTTTGAGTACAGGAGGCCCTACAAGAAGCCGGAGTATCTGGAGGCGAAGGGACCTACCACTGAGGAGCTGATTGTTGAGGTAATTGGTAATAAGGGTTCATTAAGTATTTTTTGTCTTAATTAGTTGTTTTCTTGTTTCACTGTCCATCAAACAATGGTGTTTTCACATCTGCACGAGATAGGTTGTTTATTGTTGAAATTGTTGTCAGGACGAATAACATTTTAAATTGGAATGCAATTTTACCACATAGCTGGAGATAGTGAGAGCAACTTATTTATGAATTTACCTTTGTAGATACACACATGGATATTTACATGCTATGTTTACAGGTTTATCATCTTTGAAGATTCCCTCCAATTTAAAATTGTAGTGGTAGATAAGAATTATGTAATGGTAGTAGCAAATTAAGCTTTTAGATTATGGTATTCTACCTACAACCATTGCATGACTGGAAAAAAATGTTTGAAAGGTTTAATATTGATAACTAAAACTTACTAAGCAGCACGAAAATGTGAACTTTTGAAATAATCATAAATATTTAAAATCAGAATTTAGTCATTCATGCTTCAGAAAGATGATGGAACTGTAGCATATATGAGTATTTTAGATATCTACATTTGGTTTTCATCTAGCATTCCTTGTACAATGTACTACCATTAATTTATAGATGAAATCTATTACACTTTTTTTTAACTCAATGTTACAGATTCTCTTGCAAGGGAAGAACCCCGGCGTTGAGTACGAGTACACTGTACTAGGATCGCACGCATCATCTGCCCCTCCGGTACACACGTACACGTGGAACCAAACATACACTGGCTGCTCTGCAACATGTGCTGGAGGTATTCACTATCAGTTCACAGCTTGGATTTAACTTCCTTATTGCGTCATCATGGCTAATCTGTGTTTTTGCGAAAGTTTTTGAACCAGTATACAAAGTCTATAAGATAATGATATCCTCACATTTTTTTTGCCCTTATTTCTTTACATACCTGGATAAAAGAAGGAGAAATAGAAGTCAGAATTAGACATGTATATTCAAAAATTACTTTGACAAATGTTTATTGTAGAAGGAATTCTTCTTTTTTTAAGAAATTATTTTGAGGGCCATCAGCAAATATCACAAATTTTCCACAGTGAGTTTGCATCACTGGAAATAATTGTAGTCGCTGTAACCTTTTCCATCTCACAAAATTCCTTGATTAATCAAATTATATCAGGAGACGCGATGGCTCAGTGGTAAAGCTTCCGGGTTAGAAACCAATTTGATGCCCTAATTTCCTTTGGTAAGGCATTCATCCTCATTACCAGGTTGCTACAAGTTTTCTTAGCAAAACAAACCATCAAACTATACATTGTATTTTCTAGTGAATGGAGACATGACAAAAATATACATACTGCTGATATTTGCATCATGGAGATAACATTTGAAATGTAGGATTACTAACGCCTTCCTCTAACAGCATACTGTAGATGATTTAATAATGCTAACATTCTTTTCATTTTTTTCGTCATCATCGTCATCATCCTCCTCCTCTCAGGAGTAAAGACCGAGGTACTGAGCTGCCATCGTAATTATCAAGATGAAGTTGATGAGTCATTCTGTGATGGTACCAACAGACCGGAACAACAAGTCGTTGTATGCAACAAGGACCCTTGTCCACCAAGGTATGACTACTTTAAAACCTATCAGCAAAAATAAAATTATGAACGGAACAAGTATTTTGGGGATAAAAGGTTAGGGTCTCATGTCACTAAAAAAAGCAACTGAAGGTATATCATATGTATGCGATCAGAACCTTATGCAAGTGAATGTCAGAGCTTTTTCTACAAGCAGTAAGTCCATAAATAATGGAGGATATACTTTGGAATTAAAGTTATACCGTAACAAGTATTCCCAACCTTAGACAGGTAGCCAGATCAGGACTATGAATACAGGCAGTGTTCATACATTGAATCAATTATCATTTGTTACATCGGTGCTTTTGGTTTTGAATTTTGATGTATTTGGGCCATCATTTTAAAAAACAGGGGAATTCCCAAATTAACAATATATTTGATGTGGGTTGTGGGTACCCAATTATAAGCACTAGGATGAGCTATTCAAGTCTGTACAAAGTTGTATTTGTCCTACTACAGTGAAACCTATCTATAAAGATCACCCAAGGGAGACGAGAAAAGTGATCTTGATAGGCAGGTGGTCTTTATGTACAGGTACCTTTAGTACATGTTTCAATGAGAACCATTTTCAAGGGAAACAACAAATGTGGTCTTTGTAGACAGGTTGTCTTTCTATACAGGTGGTCACTAATGCCACCAACCACTCACCTTCGTTTCATTCACAGGTGGACAGTGAGTGCCTGGAAGCCATGCAATCGTCAGTGTGGCAGCGGTCGTCAGAAACGTAAGGTCGTCTGCATTAAGGAGTTGGCAGGGGGCAGGAACAAGACGGTCAAAAGCAGCTACTGTTCTTCGCCACGGCCACAGAAATGGCAGGCCTGCAACACCCAGGACTGTCCGCCCAAGTGGGTGCCTGGCAGATGGTCAGAGGTAGGTCAATTCAAAGTTCAAAGTTCAAAGTTCAAAGTTTATTTCCACATTTTCATAATAAACAGCACTATATATATATATATATATTTATATATGAATACACATTTGAAACAAAGATTAAGAAATCAAAATCATTATATAACATTGTAACAAAGATAGCATAGAGATGATCAAAGTAAGGGGGAAAAAAATTGGTAGGATGAAAATAAGTGAATCCCAAAATCAAAAGATTTATACCATTTGAAACTACATGTATTGGTCAGTAGTTGGATTGAACAGATCAATTTCAAGATGGTTTAGAAGCTGATCAACATTGTCCTTTGCTGCTGGATAATTTAAGCAAATTTCCAACACAGATTTTACAAACAGGCATGAAATATTTTCTCAGAATGATTTAATAACCTTGTTTTTTAAAACTGCATGATTTTTTTCTTCAGTTTTCATTCAATCTTTTGCTGCATGAGTTGTGGTATCATGGCAGGAGAAATCTTGACAGTCTTTGAATAATATTTAGCTTTTTTTCATGGAAAATAATGTATATATCATAAAGTTATTGAACAATGCAATCAGATATTTTGGAAAAATAAATCTCAAAATGTTCCAAACTACATTTACTTTAAAAAATTATGGAAGATTTAAGTTATTGTTTTGAATACAGAATTCTCTTTATTTTTTATTTTTTTCAAACAGCATGGCTTGATTTATGATTTTTCTGTTGCATCTTTGAGTTTTGTTTTTTTGTGTCATGTCTGCTGCAAGCTAAGAACTCAATAAATGTTTATGAGAATACTAGCAAACTAGCATGTTACTTTATTTTGAAACTGCCTGATGTTGATATTTTTCAGCAAATTTGACTCAATGAAATAACTTTTAAATTTTTCTCTTTCTTTGTCATACCCCACTTCATCCCTGCTTATCTTTGCTTTGTGTTTATCTTTCAACTCACTTTGCATCATTTGATTTGATTGTCATTTTTTTTTCCTTCAAATTTCACATTGCTTTCATCAAATCCACCAAAAAAATATTCAAAAATCACAAATCATGAATTATGTTGCTGTGTTGCTTTACCAAATTTCAAAATATTTATCAATACCTTTCATCAATCAAACAACCAATCCCGACTCTTCATATTACACACATGGCATTATTTGTAACCCCCCCCCCCCCAACCAACAAAAAATTGCTTATGCTGAAAACATTCACTTTGCACCCACACCTTTTTCTTGTGTCAATCCAACCCAAATCCATATGCCCAAACACAATTTTGTGTGTATACCACAACCTTGTTCTCTTCTTCTCAAAACCTGTTCTTTTTGTCAATTTCAATTCTTTCTTATATCTTCATATCTTCATTCCCTCTTCCTCATTTTCAATTACCCCCCTTGTGTTTGTTCCTGTTACCCCTCTACCACTCCCTGACCACACCCCAACCAACCACCTGTTGTACCCCCACACCCCTACCTACCTACCACCCTGTTGTACCCCACAGTGTTCCCGTACCTGCGGTGATGGGTTTCAGACCCGCATGGTGTCCTGTGTCTCCCTCACTGGTAATGGGGAATATCACCGGCAAGCTTCCGATCGGTGTCGGGGCACCGTCAAGCCCCACACACGCCAGCCCTGCAACCTGATGGAGTGCCCCCTCAAAGTTCAGTGGTTTATATCGGCCTGGAGCGAGGTGCGATCATTCATACCAAAATATTATCTTATAAAATTTACTCAGTTTTTCTTTAAATCTCCTAATAATGCACATTACCTTTTATCAATTGCATTATGATTTGATCAATTACTAACAAAGCTAGAATATATGCACACCTAACAAATATATTGATTAAATTTATCTTTATCTAACATTTTATTTGGATTTTAAAACTGTGATCATGTTCAGAATGACTTAACATTGGTTGACACTTGACCTACCTGATATTTGTTTTAGAACTGGGATGAAAGATAATATTAAACGAGAAGTGATTTTTGGCAGGAAGAGTATACCAACTAGGTTCCTGCAATATATCTTTATCAGTAAGACATTTAGGAATATATACGTACCATTCAGTCTTTGACTAATGAGTATTGGAATGTCCTAAATGATATGTGTATCTTTCATAATATATATAGTACAATTTAAATTATTTAATTATTTAAAAACCTTTTATGCTGTCTCAATCCCTTCTCGCTAGAAAAGTAGAAAATATTTGTTGGCTTATTGTTAATGTCGGTGGTGGAATTATTAACTTTGCTTTTTACTTGTATTACCAAGTAGCCCCATGAAATTCATAAATACATCAAATATTAGACAGCTTGAAAATTATTTTTATTGTTGCATCCTTTCACACTCACTTTGAGAAATACTGAAATATAGTTTTCAACCTAATCCTTGTAGAGATGCTTCTATTTTCATACAAAAACATGTTTATCTATTTCTTGCTACAAGTATCCCTTTCAAAATGATTTCCCATATTTATATTATATGAGTTGCATTTTGAAGGAGTGTAGGCATAGAATTAAAAACAAAATTACGGTTTGAAAAGTTTGTCTAAATTCTTATACTTTTACTCTATTTTTTATATGGATCAAAACCCAGGAGAATTATAGTACATGTACCCTTTAATATGAAAAACATCAACTTTGGCAGTCAAGTGTTTGTTCTATTAACCCTTCGAAGCCAGGAAAGAGCTATGGTTTAAGAAAAAAGTGCTTTTACATTATATATATATATATATATATATTTATATATGTATATATGTACCGTATTTAGTATGGTCTTTAAAAGAACATTATTGAATTATAAAAATTAATTATTTGAATGTATTTAATGCTCACCTTGATTGCATTATGATTTATTTCTAATGGTATGTAACTACACCATAGATTTAATCATCAGTTCAGAGCCCGGTCTTATATAGAGTTGCGACTGATCTGAATCAATTGCAAGTCCTCCAATCGAAAGTTTACAGTCTCCTACCTCTTATGTACATAGTTGCGATTGATATCAATCACAAATAAGTTGCGATTAATCTCAACTCTTTATTAGACGGGGCGCTGTAGTATCAAACCTGATTTTTACGTTAGTTTCCCAACCCCTTTCTTTACCCACTGACAAACAGTGCTCAAGAACCTGCGGCCCTGGTAAACGTCAACGCATCATGAAATGCAGTCACCTTGACGATCAGGGACAGTACAGGGAGCTTCCGGCGGTGCGTTGCCAGCATCTCAGTCAACCTGTCCTTGCGCTGTCCAAACCCTGCAACTCTCAACCTTGTATGATAGAGGTCAGAGGTCGATGGCAACCAGGCGAATGGTCACAGGTAAGTTTTTTTTTTATACATTTGATAGAATCGTTTGATTATACAATATCTTTGAACCCTCATTGTTGTATGATAGAGGTCAGAGGTCAATGGTCACAGGTAGGTGGATTTTTTTACATTTGATAGAATCCTTCCATTATACAATGTCTTTAAACCGTCTTGTAGTAGGATGGATGTATTGTTAGAGGTTGATGACAACTGAGTGAATTGTCACAGGTAGGTCGTAGGGTGTCGCGACCTTTGATGAATGAATGAATGCAACCCAATGTGTCATTGAACATGCCTTGTAATCTTCAATGCTGTAGGATAGAGGTCAGGGTTGATGGAAACTTAAGGACTGGTCAAAAGTCAGGTCTTAGGTTGTTATGACTTTTTGATAAAATATATCCAACATGCCCTTGCTCTCTTCAAGAACTGTATCCTTCAACCTTGCAGGATCGAGGTCAGGGCTTGGTGTCGACCCAGTGACTGGTCACATATAATATCATTATCGAGTTCATTTCAGTTACCTGGTAGGTGCCAACATTTACCAGTTTGTTCACAACTAGAGATATTGTCCAACAGTAGCCACCTATGAAATGCATATGACTGTATAGAGGAGGTGTTATAGCTCAGTTGGTAGAGCAGTGGTCTCGTCATCCGGCGACCCAGGTTCAAAGCCAAGTCAATGGACTAGTGCCCTTTGGTAAGGCATTAATCCTCATTACCAGAGGAGAGAGAGGAGAGAAAACCTAAAGCCGTCGGTCCTCTGGTTGCTTACTAACAAGCATTTATGCTTTCTTAGCAGTCAGGTAAAATAACCACCACCACACACAGATTGCTGATGCTGTTTGCTTTCTTTTTTCTGTTTGATCTTACAGTGCAGCGCCACGTGTGACGGAGGTACCAAGGGAAGACAAGTCCAGTGCGTTAGTACTAATAGCGTCAACAGCAGCCCCAATACCAGACTTATATGTGACAACAGTATAAAACCGGAAGTAAATCGAAATTGCAATACAGATGCGTGTCCATCACAAAGTGCTTGTGAGTAAACATCTGTTGATTTTCAAACAGATACATTTTATTCATTCATTTATTAATTTTATCTAGTTACAGTGTATTTCAGCAAGACAATAACTATGCATTTTGTAAATACAGTCAAACCTGTTTATAGCGACCGACCGTGGGAAACACAAAAATGGTCTTTGTAGACAGGTTCTTTTAGTACATGTTTCAATGAGAAACCATTTTCAAGGGAAATAAAAAATGTGGTCTTTGTAGACTGGTGGTCACTAAAGCAGGTTTGACTTTGGCAATAACAAACATCAAAAGCTAGTCTGAGCAGACAAAATAAACATTTTTTCGTAATTTTTTTTTATTGAGGTTGGTCTATTTTAAAATCAGAATTGCATACATATATTCAAACATCCAAAAATCACACCTTTTACCCATTTAATTTAGCCTGATATCTTTATGTCTTCTCAAAAGAATCTATTCAGACACCTATCAAATCCAAAAGATAATGATTTTTATTCTGTAACCTAATTTTGATCTTGATTGGATTATGTCATATCCTTGTCTTATTCCCTTCTGCAGATCCATACGCAGCATGTAGAGATGAATACAACTGGTGTTACCTCGTACCTCAACATAATGTATGCTCGCATCGCTTTTACGGAGTCAAATGCTGCCATTCCTGCACCTACAGGGGTTGATGAGACCGGACATTAAATAGACTCGAAATCAATCTATCTGATACCTCTCGCTCTGCTCTGTCCAGTTTCAGTCTTTGATCCAAAGAGCGATGGATGGATGATATCTTCAGGCAGGCAGTTGTGGTATACGTCATATTAGCATCTAGTGGACCTTGTGTTTCCACCTTAGAGTACTCCTATCTTGATGCTGATTTAGTTTGAGAGGAGCTGATCTAGACTGTTCCTGTTGGATCCCAGTCACCCTTGTGCAGCCCTTCAAGGATATTTATTTTGTGGGGAGGGGCGGAAAGGGGGGGGGGGCGCAGGAAAGAGCTTACTCATATTGCCATGTAGTGGTCCTTTTACATCGAGACATAAGAGTACTCTCATCTTGATGCTAAATTCTGTTAAGAAGAACTTTGGAAGAACTGATCAGGACTGTTGCTATCTATTAAGTCATTCTTGCGAGGACCTTCAGGATATTATTTTGTTGAGGGAGGGGAGGGCTAGGGCTGAGAGAGCGGAGTCATATTGGTGTCTAGTGGTCCGTATTCATCCATCCAAGAGTACTCTAATCATGATGCTTGTAATGTTTCAACAAACTTTTAAAGAACTGATCTGGAAGTTGTTGTTCGAGCTCTGTCACCGTGTAAGGTTTACCATCATCTTTTTATTTTGGTGAGGATGGGGTGCTGCACCCTTTCCATAAAAAACTGGAACTTAGGGGATTCTTTGGACAAGATGTGAAACAAAAGTACTCATCTGGAATAAAAGATCATAGATTGCAGAGCATTATTTTATTAAAGAAGCAACTGTTCATTCTCATTTCCACATAGTCAGCAGCACGATATGATGTTATTTTCATGCTCAGGGCATGCATCAACATTGACTCGTTATCCACTGCCAGATTTAAAGAGGTATTCTTCCCCGAAATGTCACCATCGACCTATCCAGCTCACCTTGCCTGTTGATAATATAACAAGCCTCTCCAGCCAGCTAGCTAGCTCTTTCTGAGTGTATTTTGTTTGTTTGCTGGAATGCAGTCAGACAGAACAGCTTTCTACAGTGAACCAACTTGAGCAGTCGACAAGTGAACATACAGCTGAGGTCAACATAAACAAAGTACTTGTTCACTCAAAAAGTCTGTATTCTCTCGGACGTCTTGATGGACTTGGGGCAGGAGCATCTTCTATCAAAATGAGTGATTATTTTCAAGAAATCAGAAGTATTGGTATTCAAAGCTGCTGCTAGTTTAGTTAAGACTTTGCCTAGCTTATTTGTTGCTAGACTTTTAAACTGTTGAATGAAAAGAGAGACCAAAAATTTTCAGAAATAAGGAAGTCACAAACAACAATATTTTTTGTCTTTAGAATTTCTAACATGCAAATGTGATACCGTAAATATTTGTAAGATCCCACCCTCCGGCTGTTTAAAAATTATTGAGATTGCCCCCTTACCCAATTTGAAATGTACTTAAAATTTGTTAACTTAGGGATCAAAATCATTTGTCTTCAGATATTTACTGGTAATAACAGGAGGTCTAAAATTGTCTGAAATATTGACTGTGTTTGAAACTTTCCATCCTAAGCAAACACTCAAAAAAAGGATAAAGGAGCAAGTGTGGATTCAATTTCAAAAGTTGTAAAAAGAAAACATCCCGTAAAGAAAATGAGAAACTTCTCATGATTTATTTTTCCAGCTATTTATATAGAAAACTGATATATGCATTACATGTTATGTGCTGGCAGGGCTATCTTGTTAGCATTTCTTGATATCCATTTGAAAAGGTCATGATTAAACATTAGCACAGACTTTAACATTTTTGGATTTTACATAAAAATAATATTTGATGTTGTAACGTTACATATTATCTATAATTATGTAGCAAATTGTCAAGTAAAGTTTCAAATAAATGGTCCTACTTGTTATTTTGATTACCATGTGGTTTGTGTGAGGTGTGTGTTATGCTTGTCTTTGTGACCTTTTCTTTAATTATTTATATAAACATTGAAAGAAAATGTTCCATTGTTCCAGTATGATATTCTAAAATTATGAGGATTAGGGGGGGGGGGGGGGACTTTGTTGAGCCGATTTGGCCTTTATTCTAACTAGAAGAGTTCAATGCACTAATATTCCGGTTGGTAGTATACTTATTATTACATTTAACTTAAATCATTCAGATTTAATGATGATGTTGGTTTGGATTTCTATATAAATAATATAATTGCCATGTCTTCGAAAACTGAATGGCAGGAAGATCGTATAGTTTACGATGAACTTTGCTAATCTGGTGCTCCGTGTAGATATATGTACTTTTTGCCATAAACAGTATCATTTTGCTGCATTACATTTAGGTGATCAGGGTACATGCACTTGGAATTTTGTTGGTGTTGGCATTAATTTTTTAAATTATTTCTTCACCTATTTTTTTTTTTTTTTTTTTTTTTTTTTTGGGGGGGGGGGGGGGGGGGGTCAAACTTAGACTTTTTTTGCCTGTAAACTCTCATTTATATGCTTGATTATTGTTACAATTTATATTTGTATTTATAATTTAAATATTACCATTATAGGCATTGATGGGGATTAAATTATTAAGTTAATTCAATTAATAAATATATTTCTTTGTTTGGTTCTCGTAGCTAGACATACTTTTAAAGTATACTAGTCTAACTATCTTTAAAAAATTGGACTGTTTATTACCAAGTCCAAACTATGGGTGTACAGGCAAAAAAATAAATTCCTTTTTCATTTTTAAAGGGGGATGGGGAGCTAATGTCTCGACTCGAATATCACCTTCACTTATTGGTATTTTCAAAATTTGAAGCAGCCCTCATGTTGTTTGTCTTTGGTCTATTTTGCCATTATTTTAAAGATATTCTGTTAATGTTTTATAATTGTATTCAGGTGTCTAGTTAGGACTAAAGGAACAAGCCTCAACTGGATTTGTTTTAAAGAAATCAGAGTATATAAATGATTTACATTGCTCAGGTATTGTAGTTTTCATGTAGTTCTCTATGAAATTTGTATATTTTCAATTTAAAAATAGTTATACACTTTCAATGGGGGGGGGGGGGGCAGATTTCATGAAAGTATACAATCATGTCTGGATATTTTTCCTTAAAATCCTTAAAATGCCTACAAACATGGCAACATCAATATTTGACTTGAACCAGTTTATAGAATTAACTTCCAGATAAGAAGGTTTGCTTGTTGATATTCAGAAGGCAAAGATACAAGATATATTTTGAATTACTTAAAATTGGCTTTCCTACAAAAAGTTTACATTCATGGGTATAATTGATTTATATTTTAAAGCAAAAAGTCTTGTGTATGTTTTGATAGTTCTGGTACTCCTGTAAAGTTTCTATGCATGTTTTGTTTAAGCTATGCAATGTATAAGTAACTATTTGTTTCCCCATTCATTTTTCTTTTTGTATTTTGCTGCATAACCTGTTTTAATGTTTGACATGCTCTTGTGTGCAAGAAACCGAATGTTCTTGTGACTTTTCACCCCAAGTATGAGTGCATGTTATTCTGAATTCATGCGATTTGAAGTACTTACAAATTATGCAAGTCAATATTCTATCATGCTCTTACATAATATTTAAGTGAACATATAATAAGTAGTTAAGGTGATGGAATAGGAAGTAATGGTTAATAATTGATTGTGTTATTTATTTTTTATGCATGAATATCAGAAGGGAATCTTTAACTTTTTAATTTCAGTGACAGTTGTTGCTGTATGAAACGAAAATCGAAACCCTAATGAGAACCTTATTTATTGATGTAATAATAAATAGCAATGAATGGCTACTTTTTAAATAACACAGAACAAGAATGATCTTCAGTTATGGTGAAAAAATTGAAGCATACCATTATACTGATAATAAGTTTTTAGACGTTTGTTATTGATGCTACGAGGAAAAAACTGAATAGCCGATGTAAGTAAGAGGAAAAGAAGAAGAGTAATTTTTCTCTTATAGAACAACTTTTAAGGTATATTTATGTTTTATCATGAATCTCTTGGTGCTGTAGATTAAATATAATATTTCTATTTTGCTGTAATTTTTTTATTCTGTAGAATAATGTATAGTTCACTATTTTTATTCCTAACTTCCTTTCAGAGTAACGATTTGTGTGTTGTCTACTTCTTGTTGTACAATTGGGAAAAGTTTTGAATGTAGATGTTTTAGTTATATCATTTTATGAGCAAGATATATGGAGATGCTATATTTTTGTCCTACCCCTTTTTTCCTTATCATTTTAACCTATAATCTCTACCTTGAACAATGTTTGAAAGTTGTGTTCCATCGACCTTTGACCTTTCACCCCCTGTGCCACCTTTGTGATATATATTATATTTTCAGTCATTTTGCGATTCTCCGATATTGTTTGTCTTCATGCAATGTAAATTTTAGGGACAAGACACTGAATATCAAAACTGAAATTTCACATCTCTTTTGGGCTTGGGGCGACAAATGAAATGGCCTCTTAACTTATTCAGTATCGATTGATGCAAAGAGTGTGAGCATAAAGCAGAAACAAGCACTTCCATGCATTTGAAAAGGGAAGTTTCCCTTCTTAATTACCAGAGACCTCAAGAAAGAGAGAAATGTGATCAAATTACAAAACCCTAAGTCCATTTGAGGTGTGAGATAAATATGACCTTGTGTTCAATTGTCTCAAGTATATGTTAGGTCGTTAGTACTAATTTATTATCATGTATTATACTGATTGGCTATTGTTGATTGTGAAGAAATTTTGAGGGCGACATGGAGAATCAATAAAAAAAGAATGTTTTTAAATGTGTACAACTGTTATATTTGTTTTCTTCAAGCTGTCAATCGGTTGATTTAAAGGGTAGGCAGTGTGATTGCAAAGAAAGGTATAGCAAGTGATTGGAGACACAGAGAGAGGGGGAGAGAGAGAGAGAAAAAAAAAAGCATGAAATGAAGCAAGAAAACAAAACAGGAAAAGAGAGATTGAAAAGACGATAAATAAGTGATAGCCTGATAGGCTGATATTTATTTAAAGCTACTTTCAAACGATTAAGCAAGAAGTGAGGATAATTACTTTTTTTATACAACAAGAACAATAAACTGTATGATGATATTGAAATAACTTGCACACATTACAAATTCATGAATTAACTTGTTATGAGGAGGTAAAAAGACAGAAAAATATATTTATTTGTTATTGAACAACAGGAAATAAATCGATATAAGGTTGAATTATATCCAGGGAAGAAGTTGGGTTTCTATCTTAGAACAGAGAAGAACTGAGCAAATGCTAAAAATTGCAATTATAAACCTAACGTTCTGTATTAATTGGAGTAAGATTTAGCTTTGCTGTGCCCCAAAACAGATGTATGGACTATGCAACTTTTCAAATTCTACGGTCTTTAATTTATCAAGGACAAACCATTTGATAGATTTCCATTCCTGTAAATAACTGATCAACCGCCCGAAGGTTGTGAGCAGATCAGAAAAGTTGAAGAGTGAAAAAGGGAAAAAGTGAAGTTCTGAAAAGAACTGTTGGTATTCCTCTGTGGAGTAGTTCTGAAAAGGTTTTCTGAAGTACAGAATCCTTTCGTGAAAAAGAGTATATCTGTGTCGACGCGTTTCGAACAGTATGCCCCGTCCGGAGATTATTCCTTTTACCAAGGAGGTGAGACTCCTCCCTACTTTTACTATCAGCATTCAACCAGGGAGTCCAATTCACTGACATCTCCCTTATTCAACCATACAATACTGATCATTCTAATGGGCTACGTGCGGTCTATTTATTCTTCAGTTGACCAGTACCCCAGGGTTCACCCGGACAATCAACATTCCCAGACTCAAAGTAAATATGATAACAAGCCACAATATAGCCTTTTAACGGAGAGGTACTTCTCTGTGTGGTATCTATAGGAGAATGAAAAGGGTACTGCTCTGAAGTGAAAGGGGTCCTTAATACTTTCCCATGCGTCAAGCAAGCAGCGAGTGTCTTGTGTAAGCTCTATATTAACCCATATGCCAAGCTTTGCTCTTACCACCACCCAAATGACACCTTTCCATCGTGATCATGTAAATGATGATATGACGGAATGGATTGAACGAATAATTTGTTGAATGACTGACTAAATTAATTTTGAAAAGACGATAATATAATAGACAAATGACACTATACTCCGTATTTTGCAACAAAACGCTCCTAAAATCCACTATGATCAAGGCTCATTTATATTTGTACTTTCTAAACAAGTACAAACAAAATGCATTGATATACAGTCAAGTATATGAGTTGACTTATAAAAATACAGATCAATATAGTCACTTCTTGCTATGTCGTATGATATTCCTGATGATACGTTGTATTTTGATACCGAAATCAAATCAATCTATCAACACTTCAGAGTCTAATTTGATCGCTTTAAAAAATTGCTGGTATGTTTTTGCAGATATACAATGCATCGATAACCATATAATTATCACATTTCAATGTATACTACATTATGTGGCATATATATGGCAAGTATACATATATAGAGCCTTTCATACAATTCTTTATGTGTAGAACTCCAAGATTTTATAGAGTTCTATGCATGTATGCATCAAGTTCTTTCCACAATACCATCGATGGAATATAGGCCTAGGTAAATTTAGAGAATGATGTCAATCTTGGATGATTGTGTCGTCTCAAATTGTATAAAATTAGGGAAAGTTTTACGAAAATGGTAAATTACCAATAAGCGGATAAAACTTGAGCAATGTAAAGAAGATGAAATCATAACAATTTTCTCAGGAACAATAGTTATCACAAATTCACAATGTACATACAAAATGAAGCAAAACTGTTTGTTACATAAAAAAGTGATTCCATATAGGTTTTCACTTAAAAGAGCAGAACCACGCTTGCAGTGAAAACTCACATGTGGAGGCGAAATGGCTCAGTGGTAGAACAGTGGTCTCGTAAACGGGAGATACCGGGTTCGAAATCAAGTCGAGGCTCTAGTGCTCTTTGGTAAGGTATTAATCCTCAATACCACGTCCCTCTGAGAGGACTTAAAGCCGTTATTCTCCTGGTTGCTTACTTACAAACATACACATGCTTTCTTAGCAGACAGTTAAACAAACAAACTCACGCGGGAATAAAAGCCCTAATTATTATCATTTCAGGGTAGGTAAAATAATCTGGGTAGGAAACTGATCTGAGCCTAGAAATTGTATTAATGAATTAATATATGAATATATGAATTAATAAAGAACACAATAATGTTATCCAAAAATTCGATCAAGGCGCGACAATAATGAATATTGCATGTTACATTTGAATTAAATAGCTCAACAGATAATCTAATTCGTATCCGGACACCTACCCCCTGGACATCCACCCCCGGATTACCAACCCCAGTAAACTACCCCTGGGACAACTACCCCCGGACAACAACCCCCAGACAACTACCCCGAGGACAACTACCCCCATACAACTACCCCTTAAGACAACTACCCCCTAGGAAATTTGTCCGGAGGGAGGTGTCCTAGAGAATGGTTGTTGTAGGGGGTAGTTGTCTGGGGGTAGTTGTCCGGGGGTAGTTGTCCGGGGGTAGTCGTCCTAGAGGGTGGTTGCGTTAGGGGGTAGTTGTCCTAGGGGGTAGTTGACTGGGGTGGTTGTCCAGGAGGTAGGTGTCCGATATAGAACCGACTCTGTGTTCAAAGATAATAACTTTGTCCATACTTTAGTTTGACTGAGTACAGGAGGTAAATTTTATTGAGAAATATACAGAAAAAAAAAGAAAAATAAGCTAACAACCAGACGAACGTGATTGTGATGCACATACCACTCCATTCATATACAATTCATAAGAAAGTAAGGAAAAATGGTATGTACTTAGTTATACAGGATGCATCAACTATATACAGGAATGCATCCATTAACTATACAGACTGCATTTATTTTTGTAATGATCCTTCCCAAAATCTTGATGACGTGTTCATACACATTAAAGTGGCACGTTATGGTTGAACCTATTCCAAATGGCAAATGTTGGTTCACTTTACTCAAAATCAGCTGTTTAAAAACTGGATCCTGATTGTTTCTTCTACAGATAGTTTCTTCGAAGTGGCTTATAATATACATCTATGTATTGGTATCAATGATACAGCAAATCTTTTTCAAAACCTAAAGCACAACATCTTGCTATAATTTTGTTCTTCTTCAAAGTCTCACCAGTTGTCCGCATATGCCTCATCTTTCTAATGCTTAGTCATTATATCGATAGATAAATGTATTTTCAGTCATCAAGGAACGTTGACAAGGACCGTTGGCCCTTTACACCAAAGCGACACATTCCATTTAATAGTATAGTACATACGTATAGGATACAAACACCAGGAAAAGTAGCCTTGATCATAATTATAAGGCCAACATCATCTCTAAACTTTCCGGGAGGAAAATTGACAATGCCAAACTAACTATTCTAATATAAGGGTTGTAAGTCTAAATCACTGAGAAACTATTAGACTTTTGTAGCTGACGAGGCTGAACTCGACGCTGCTAGTTTTTGCCTCTCCCTGTCTCTCGTCCGACTGGTTCCCGTAGATTTGGTTCCTGTGTTACTCGTACTTCTCCCTTCTGACTTGGATTCACGGATTCTCTTTCGCCAGAGACCCCTCACCCGATGGTTAGCGCCGAAGAAGACGAAGACGAAGATACCTTGCAGAGAGCTGGTGATGATGAAGATTGTCCAAACAGCAGCAGCCTGGGCAAACGCAGCGATGAAACCAAAGGACCATCCAAAACCAAGTAGGCAAGATATCTGAACGGTTTAAGAAGGAGTGGTAATGAGACGGTTAAATAAGAGAGGAGAGAGACTCACGACAAGATAAAATCCGAACCAAATACGTTTTTGTTTGAGATTACAGACAAATTACATGACTTACAGGAGTATAGGAGACGGCAGCAAGAGAAATAGCATATATATCGGAAGAAGGGTTCTAGGACACCTTCCCCCTGGACATCAACCCCCGGATAACCAGCCCCAGTCAACTACCCCCTAGGACAACTACCCTTAGGGCAACCAGCCTCTAGGAAGACTACCACCCGGGACAACTACCCCCGGACAACTACCCCCAGACAACCATCCCTTTGGACAACTACCCCTTAGGACGACTATCCTAGGGGGTAGTTGTCTGGGGGTAGTTGTCCTACAGGGTAGTTGTCCTAGGGGGTAGTTGTCCGGGGGTAGTTGTCCTGCGGGGTAGTTGCCCTAGAGGGTGGTTGCCCTAGGGGGTAGTTGTCCTAGGGGGTAGTTGACTTGGGTGGATGTCCAGGGGGAAGGTGTCCGGATACGTGGAAGAAGCATTCTTTCTTTGCACTGTTATAAATGTTAAGGATGAAAGTGTTTTTGTTTCTCCAAAGTTTTACGTAAATTTAGCTGCATAAAATAAAGTTCATACTCATTGGTGATAGGTGTTCATGTATATTTATTTAAGCAACGTGTTAATACATAATACTGGATCGTAGACTCTACTCACCTTAAAGTGGACTACCAGTTCGTGGAAGAGCTCCTTCCGTCGCTCATGAGCACCTTCGTGGAGAACACTGGCACCACGCTTGCTCTTGTGAACACCGTAGGCAGTTAACGAAAAGAGAACGATGCTGACGAGAAAACTGACGGCGACAGGTACCAAGAAAACCAGCACGATAGCCCTGGCTTGGTAGATCCAACACGATGTCCCGATCTTGCCGTAGCGAAACATCGAAGGGTTCTGAACTTGTACAATCAGACAGGGGACGACGATGACGAGAGGAAGACACCAGCCGATGATGAGGTAGGCGATCAGACGTCTCGTCTCCCCATGTCTCTTTGGTAGGAAAGATGAGGATGCGAAGTGACGAACAAGGTCCCACGCCAAGATGTTCGTCCATGTGAAGACAGCGAGGAGGAAATAATGAGTGATGGTAGCTGCTATCGTACACACGGTTGGCAAAGATATCATGTTAGGAGCGATGAACTGGAGCATCACCTTTGGAAAATAATGTATAACAAATTATTGCAAAGTTGTACGTCAACGCTCGGTTTTGGACGAACAACTTTCTGCATAAATGGAAGTGGCGCTAAACTAGAACTACACAGGGAACGTGGGAAATTCTTGGGGTTTGGTGGGATCTTGCTTTGAGGGTCAGGTACTATTAAACAAATCTGGAATGTTAAGGCGATATAGGACACCTATCATGCACTGACCTGCGCAACAAGAAGAGCCGAAACAAAGCTCATGATGGATAGGCCTTGGAGGTTCCTTAGAGGCTTGAAGATACAGTACGTGAGCAACGTCGCCAAGAGACAGATGGAGGACAGTCCAACGAGTATGAGGTTCAGTATATTCTGCCCTTTGGAGTACTGAAACATGCTGACAGGTTCTGGAGGATCGGGTCCAGTCCAGCAGAGACGGACAGAGCCATTCAGGTAACGAACGTAGCTCTCTGGAGGGAATGGGATGTCCTGGTATATCTAAGAGTGACAAGATATTTGAATGTACATGTATGACGAAAATACAGCGTAATGTAAATTGTTTTTATCAAGGTGATACATTGTTGAAGGTGATTAACTTACAAGATCAACAGTTTTTTTTCTCAATATTTCGCGAGGGTTACAATCCATTGACGTTTAATATCATATTTAATTTGAGTTCTATATGACACTGGTTTATCATGCAAAAGTTTTTAAGTATGATATCGATAGTTTGTCATCAATAGTGAAATTTAAAACAAAAAGTTTTATTAACCTACCAAGTATGTAACATTATTCCGCTCGTTTTCGGTAATGAGAGAGCTTCCAACAACGATGAAGGCGCAAGTGTTGATGTCAACGATCTGTCCTAGAAGCGAGAAGGACTGTTCTATGGAGAATTTCCACTCCCTTGAAAGACGTCTGTAATAAGTGTTATTTTCCCAGTGCAATGGCGTCACAAAGGTGGTGTGATTATACATGATGTACGTTGTTCCATTGATGAGCACAGTTCAAACAAGTCGAGATCGTCGGTTATTCGAGTCAGATTTGCATTGTTGCCAGTGGATAATTCATATTCAATGTCACACACTTCATAAATGATGATGTTGTTGTCCCGGCAACAGTTGCCCAAACTCTCTCCCAGTTTGCTTTTGATGAAGCCTTCCAGTTGGGTCTTTTGCGGTACGATGTTTGCTGGAAACACCATGAAGCTTACTTTACTTCCGTCATATTCCTCTTCCTTCAGTTCATAGATAGTGGTATTGGGATAGTTGTTGTACGCCCGAATCTTCAGGATTTCGAAACCATCGAAGCACTGCAGAGATCCGTTGGTGATGACACCCAAGATGATGTTTCTGTTCCTGCAATCAGGCCAGGAGCCGACCTCTGGAACGCATTCAGTACCAGACAACTGAAGACCATTCATGCATTGCAGCTGAGGGTAGAAATAGGTAATTTCGAAGGCTGGCTGGTTATAAGGAATATTGATCGGAATACTTAGGCCATTAGAATTAAATTCACAGTTGCTAATAAGACTGGAACTGTTAGCAACAAAGACTCCGTTGCATTCTGCACAATCAATGTTCTTGTAGATACTACCGTTGATTATCACTCTCTCCGTTTCGTTCAAGCACGACGCGCCTGCTCCTGTTTGTGAATCACAGTGCGATATGATGGCACTGTCATGGACACACCAGCGGATAGGTGGAGGGAAACTTCCATTGACTAAAAATGGCCGTTGTCCACAAAGATTGCTCTCAGTTTGCCTGTTGTCCAAACAAGGTGTGAAAATGATGTAAGGGGTGAGTTCCGATGAGTTCACGCTGTGGCAAAGAGCGCAATACCTGTTGCGGTAGAAGATCTCCTGGGAGTCAAAGAAGACAGTGTCATTCACCAGCGGGTGCTCACATCTCTGTACCAAGTCAGGGTCTGTCCTAGCTGAAGATGGACATCTGCTCACCACAAGTACGTCACGGATGCAAGCCGTTTTCCATTCAATACCGATCGTGAACGAGGTACAACTCCAGTATTGCCTATCTGGGAAGAATTTCGCCTCCAGTGTTCGCAAAGACGCGTTCTCACTCCTATGACCATAGCAACAGTCATCAAAATGATTGCAGTCGGAATCACAATTGCAGTAAAATCTAGGAGAAAAGGTTGAATTCGTCGGGCATCGTTCGATTGAAAAAGAGAATGAAAAGCAAGTGTCAGCATCTGCAAAGTGAAAAGAAATGTACAAATTATCACTCATAAGCAATAAAAACCTTTGTATGCGTGAAAGGCAAAAAAACAAAACAAAAAACATTGACACAAATGTTGATGATGTTGAAAAGAGGTTTAACAAACAAAAACAAAAGTGAAGAAAAAAGATTTATAACTTTGAGCTTGAATTGCCTTTATGGTCTATCTCTGGAACTGAATTAAACTACCTGAAATGAGCCAGTTTACCAGCGGAAAGAACGACACCTAAGTCACGACACTGTTACCTCGTATTGTTAGTGCGAGGTGGGATAGGGAGGGGTGGGGGGGGGGGGGGGAGTCTCATCTCTGTTATTATATTTTATAGTATATATACTGTATATTATGACTTTATAGGAATATAATTATTGGAATGAAACAGAACAAACGATGAAGCCGTACTTCACGTGTATTGCACGAGCTTTCGGCTTTGATCGCATTTCTCCAGGTTCTCGAGGAAAAAAATAATCGCGCAAACATAATAGCGAGCATAATATATATATAAATCTAAATATAATACCACCGTTATGCATTAAATTATTCAGGTCGTTGTTAGTTTATAATGTTCACACAATCATGTATTGTATTGTATTTATTAAACATCATTGATGTACATCAATATTCTGTTTATAGACATAGTTATAATCACTTTACAATGTAATGCAACAATCGATATATAAAACATAATATAAAACATTTACAACACCTTTCTAAATAAACAATAAGTCATGCAATACGAAATATGTAAATGAGAACTAAAACAAAAGCATAAGATTGTACACGACTACTTTGTTATAACATATAGTATCTAAAAATTACCCCTCATTGCAATTATGTTTTTGGTGAACAAAGAAAAACTATCTATTACAACTTCATTATCTAATCTCATTATAAATATGAATTTTTCTTGACTATCCAAATTACAAACATTTTCTTCCAGATTACTAATTGTTTCTATAAAATCTACTCGTAAATCTTTATACTTGTCACATTTCATAATTATATGGAATTCATCTCCTACAAGATTCATATTACAGTCTTCACAGAATCGTAGATTCGGGGGAGTTTTTTCTGGTACGATATCAACGATCGAGTGTTGTTTCTTCAATCAAAATAAGCTTGGTTTCCTTTAGGGCCTAACTGGTGATCAGATTAAAAACAAAGACAAAAATGTTAATAATAATAAGCAAATAATCGGATTGCATAGTAACCATTGATCCTTCTCATATTCAGCATTGGCACTTACCGTTCGGACAGACGATGGGTGCCGAAGGAACTTTGTCATTTGGCCCTAGATAGAGAGTAGAAGAAAAGAGAACAGGACAACTGTTAGTGTCTTCATCCACTCTTTAATACAGTTCTTCACACACACAAACTCCACTGTTTTTTTGCATTACGAATAATCCCATGGCATTTACACACAAAAAAGCATTTTATTTTGTATTGCTGGAAAAATGCAAATGGAATGGGGGCTTCCCCTTTGCCCGACGCATGTGCAATAGATGGAACAGCCTCCGACCAAGATAATGAGACAACACTATTTGTTTAGGTCTGTCATACTTAATACTAAAATTAAAAAGCGACATGATCGTATAGCAGGGCAATCGGGCACGCTTATATCATGGCGCCACATCTTGCCTTTACCATTTCCTGCTTGGTACATTGCTCGCCCCCCTTGAAAAATAGTTGTTCAAACTTCGCCATAGCTGAATTTTCGGAGAAAAAAAGCTAAGAAATGTTCATGTACACGTATGTCAATGTTCAGTTTAAGCTTTCAAAAATATACGTAGAGCATCTTTAGGATTCAAAATTGTCTGGATCCTTGAGCAGGCCCCGGACCCCACTCCGTAAAGGCTTCGTACATTCGACGCCCCCCCCCCCTCCCATTTGGAAAATCCTGGATCTGCCCCTGAAATGTTTAACATTATTAGGAAAGTGTAACCGGGGCATAATGGTCCATTTTTTATTGACCTGGAGCTATTAAAGCCAGAAAATGTAAGTTACAAACTGATTCAGCCAAGGACGCAGGTTCGAGTCACGTCTTTCGGATGGTGACGTTTAAAGGTCGGTCCCCAGACGTTAAAAAAAAAAATCATATTTGATTTATACGCGTCTGTAAAAACCCAATACACACACACACACACACCGTCGGCTCAGCCCAGACGTAATTAATGTACATGTATTTTTTTCTTCTTCAGAGTTAGTTTCCATTTTATAGCTTTGTGCAGTACGCCTATATGACTTGCAATGTATTTTATATTGTGACGGACACGGTTCGCCAACTTGGCTGACACGGAATATTTGTCAGGATCCCCGTGCCTGGCCAGGCGCTCTCCGTCCGTTTGGTCATACACTCTAAAAAAAAACTGCTCAATTTGAGTCAAAATGTTACTCTTTTGGGTGGTCAAAAGGAAACCACCCGACTTTTGAGTAAACTTTACTCAGCATGTGTTGAGTAACAAATCTACCCATCTGTTGAGTAAAAATATTACTCAATAAAAGACTAAATCTCTACTCAGTTTGAATGAGTCAACCTTTACTCAATATTTACTCTTTGTTTAGCGGTTTCCTTTTTTACTCAGTACTGGGTAGAAACGTAATCAACTCATGTCGAGTAAGAAACTGCTCATGAGTTGAGCCAAATTTTACTCAATTAACGAGTACATGTTTTGACTCAAATTGTTTGAGCGATTTTTTTGCTCAAATATTGAGAATGTTTTCTGGGTAACGCTTAGTTGCTCAATCAATATTGAGTAAAAACATGTACTAAGTTAAGTACATGTTTTTACTCCATTAGGGGTGCAAACCGATGCAATAGCAGCACCTTTAGGGGTTCAATCCTGCACCCTTTAAAAGGTGCAATCCTGCACCCATCATCGAGGAATACTGGTAAAATTTGCTCGTTCACAAATACATATTAAACATGCATGATGTTTCTTGGTTAGTAATCATATAATCAATATATCTATTGCTAAAACGTGAATGTAATTGTAACATGATCAGACAAAATAATATATTGGTTAATGATTGCCAAAGGAAAATACAAAATCAAAAAATTGATGTGCATTGTCATAATTTGCTTAACAAATCATGATAAATGTATTTTTATGTGAACACGTGGAAAGTAATCATGAATATGCATGCAATATGCAAACTTTTATTTTGCACCCTCTTTTGGTCGATAGGGTTCATTTTTGTGGGAAGGGTGCAAAATCTTATATTGCACACTTTTTTTAACCCCTTTTCCTTCAATAGAGTTCATTTTTATGTAAAGGGTGCAAACTCTTATTTTGCACCCTTTTTTGCACCCTTTTTTCTCTAAGAGTGTATCTCAGTTCTTTCGCATCTTTCTGCACGCGCACATGCATGCACGAGACATGCACATGACGGACAATGAAAGAGTACAAAATATCCAGTTCCTTAGGTAGACAAAGGAACATACAGCTGCTATTATGTAAAAATGTGTAGAACAGGTGTCACATGCATATTGACAGCTAGTTGCACTTTCCATCGATCCAACTTTCACTCGCACCCGAGGTAAATTCGGGTAAGAGATCAATGTTGATTTATTTATCACCTGCCGCAGCGTAATACCCAACCGTAGTTTACTCAAAATTGATACAAACGAAATTCGTACTCAATGTTGAGTCATTGATTTACTCTTTATCGAAGGTAACAAATTACTCGGGTGACGAGTACCACTAAAATCAAGGTCTTACTCCAGCTTGAGTACTGAATTGCTCATTTTGTTACTCAACTTGTTTTACTCGGCACAATTTACTCGCTGACATTAAGAGTGTATATGACCGTAGCTTGATGCCTGGAGTTATCATTTA